GCTACTAGGGGCTCCTGGCCTTACTACTAGGAGCAAGAAGCTACTAGTTACAGTAAGTTTCCCAAAAACCCTAGGAAGCAAATGATTAGTGAGAGCGTGAGCTATCCTGCGCCCTCCAGTGCATACTAGTTTGAGTAGCTAGTAGCTTGCTTCCTTACTTATATAGTTATATATAAGTAGGTGCCTAACTAATTAAGGGTGTGCTCCAGCATTTCCATGTTCCTTGCCCAGATATCAAGCTGTATTCATCCGCTGAAGGCTATGAGGCGGTCACCCACGAGCTCACCGGTGAAGAGCACCAGCTTTGGGACCGCTTTGCGGGTGGCACGGCGACTGCGCCGTCTATTGGGTGGGCGCTTGACAGGGGTTGGTGCACGTAGGTGGACTGACATACTTCCAGCAGTTTGATTCTCTCCATTGCACTTGCTAGGAGACTGATGTATGAATGTACATATTGGTAGCTCAGCTCTGCATACCAGCAGATACCCAACTTGTGCTACTCTTCGCGGGAATGACCTTGGGGTAGAGTGGGCACTTGATGTGGTGGGCTCAGCCTTTATTTGGTGAAACAGGACAAAGCCACGATGTTGCTTCGACTTGTAAACACCTGTGCATGCTTTCTACATCCAGCTGTCGACACTTCCAACATCTGCAGGATGTCTTTGTGAGCATTGATTACAGCCTGGCTGGTTCTTTGACCGTCAGTGTTGAAACTGCAGGCTTGCTGTGGTCGGGTGGCCCCGCGAGGAACCTCTATGAAAAACCAAGTAGCTTCACAGGATCTCAAAGGCTCTTAAGAAAAAAACCGTTTTAGCTGATTTGGTAGGAATTAGACGAGTTTTTTATGGTGTAAACTCAAGAGCACAAGCGGCTTGCGGCTAGCGTCCTTTGGACAGAACAGAACAACGGCAGGTGGGTCGTGTGCTTGCTAAATTGTGCTGTAGCAAGATTATTCATGATTGGGAAGGGTATCAAGTTGCACCTCAATCTGCCCGCGCAGATGAAATCTGCAATGCCTTGGCTGCGGTCTCTACCAGAGCTCATGCGGAGGTGCAGGGTAGTTCAACAGCAAAAGCGCAGGGGCGCGTTGCGACTTGTGGTTTGCCCCCGAAGAATCATGCTAAGTAGAACCGGAACTGTTTGTGATGGCTGGTTCACCTTCACAGCTCATATATATTCCTTGAGAATCAAAGGGGTTTGCTACAGCCGGGACGAATGTACGGGTATTTGCATACAGTGTAGATTTTCTCCAACTACCTCGGATGCAGGCAGTCCCTTGTAACTGATTCCAATGTTCCCCATGCCTAGAGCTGTTTGGGGCAGTCTTTGCGCAGTCCCCAGCCTTTTGTTGCTTGTAGTAAGCTTCTTGTTACTAGTAGCTTCTTGCTACTAGTAGCGATGCCAGGTGCCCCTAGTAGCGTCCGATCGCTCCTAGGCTTGTGTAAAGGCCTTGGCCGAGCGAGTGGACGAGAGCGGGGAGTGCGACTTCGCCGACCTGCCGCCTGACAGACGAGAGCGAGCCAAGCGACGTGAGTTGCCGCGAGTTCCATACGGTTGGCACGGGCAACGGCGGTGAAGTCAGAGGAAGTTGAGTTATACTTGTTCAGAAAGCAAGCCCCTTGGATTGAAAAACTGCTCGATTCGGTGCCAGATCAAACTGCGCGATGAACTCACCTGACAGATGACAAATCTGGGAACCAACGGATGTCTTGATCTGGAGTTGAGTGCTTTTCCGGTTGAAATCGATGCGAGGTTGTCAGGGTCCCATCATGAAATCAGTGGTGTTGTCGGCTGATAAGGCGTTTTTATGCAAATTTATGCACGTTTCAGAGTCAGGGCTGTCGTAGTCGTAGTGGCGGAGATGAGACAATCCCTGAATGGAATTGTAAATATAGTAGCTTCTTGTTACTAGTAGTAATGCCAGGAGCTATAGTAGCGCCCTTGCTCCTAGTAGCGATGCCCTTTGCTACTAGTAGCGATGCACCTTGTTACTAGAATCTAGAAGTTCTTCGCAGTATGGCAGGGAAATCCTGATTGGATTTAAGTCAGCGGGCAAGGTTGAACAACAAATGAAGTTTAGCTTGCATGGCCCATATCTTGCTGTGGTCAGCGTAAGTCTTTTGGACACTGCCCGAATGACCATTTGATCTCTTAGCCCCATAATTATGGTAACCGATGCCGCTTCGATCATAACCAAATGTCCCACTTGCAGAATGAAAGGAGGAACGAGATCCTTGGCAAGGAACCTTCTCTTTACAATTTCAGAGTCCAGCTCAGCTAGGCTCTCGTGCAAAACGACCCGACACACCCTCCTTCACTCCGACGGCTGGAGGCTCGACGTCTGGGAGACCGAGAAGCGGCCTGACCATCTCTGGCAGTTTCGCAGCTCCATCCGGACTGGCAGGGGGCTTGGAGGGCCTAGGAGTGGTTCGCTGAGGACTGATGTAGACTGCAAAGTATGCTGGCTTCGCTGAGTTAGATCTACCATCATGCAAGCAAATGGAAGGGAGGTTTGGAAGAGCCTTTCCACGTTTTGCATCACGAGCCACCTGCTGCAAAGATTCCTTGACTCTGGTGAGTCTGAAGTCAGGGTGCCTCGTTCAGCTCACGGCCTAGGTTTGTCCAATTTACTGGCAGGTGCACTTGCGCCAGCAGCAGCAGCTTGTTGTGGGGCGTCATGAAATGAACTGCCTTGGACAAGATTTCTTGTGTGGAACAGGTGGCAGTGGCTCAACAAGCTCTACTGACAGTGTCTAGAATCACCTAGCTTAGACCTCTAGAAGAAAGCATGGGACCTACCAACATTGGTTTCAGTCTTTGAAACTGTGGGGAAAAGGTGAGGTCGTCCAATAGGCAAAATCGGCGAAAGTTCCACCGTTGCCCACCAGATTTCAGGTCCAATCGGGAGTGACGGGGATGCCATCCGTCAATCGGATCCATTCTGGGGAGGTGCTGGTATCTCGGATCCGAGCCCGTCACGCATCCCAGAGCTCCGTGTTCGGCGGCCTGGTCGAGTGGAGCGGCTTGCTCCACCTAAAGACTATGGCCAGGGCGGACAAAGTGGGAATCCTTGACATTTTCAGTAGAAGATTTATATAGAAGGAAATTAAAAGAACATTCATGGGTTTTTTCTGTTTCAGGCATCTCTTTCCACCACTGACCACATGTCCCTTTAAGGCGCGCTGTGCTCGGCTGTCTGATCTTGGCTTGGCCGTTGCGGCTGCTGCCTACCAGCGGACCCTAGCAGGGAGCCACAAGACTTGACTCGGTTGCTGCTTGGGGGAGGCCGGATGAGGGTGGCACAAGCGGCACAGCAGCCCATACTTCGAACATTATCTTGAGTCTCCTTCGTGGTTTTTGCTGATCACGTGCGTTATTTTGTGGATAGTTTTGACCCGCTCGCATCTATCAGCCCAAAGATGAAGAGAACGGCCAGAACTGCCTTGGGTTGGAATTGTTTGCTCTTCTTTGGGGCCTTTTCACAGGTGCAATGTGGGAGATGGCCCAACAGAGCCTCATAGAGCAGCACTCGTCCTCATTACCCAACAGCTGCAGCTGACTAGCAATGGCCTCCAACCTAGTAGCTTCTTGCTCCTGGTAGTAAGGCCAGGAGCCCCTACGTAGTAGCGTCCTTGCTCCTAGTAGCGATGCCAGGAACCCCACTAGTAGCTTCTTGTTACTACTTTAGGTTCTGACCTGCAGCTGGCATTGCGAGCAGCGATTGACCAGCTTTCTGTCCAGCAAGGACCAACTGGTGGGGTCGTGGGGATGGTTGGTGGATCTGCGGGGACCTCAACTTTTTGCGACATATCCAAAAGTGGGAGCACCAGATTTGAATCAAAAGTCTAAATCGATTTCAAGTTTTGGTGGTCTTGGGATAGGTGGTCGCATCCAGCTACGACGTGCCGCCCTGTAATTACTCTTTAAACGCTTCAAGTCAAGACAAACGACAAAGGTCTAAGTCGAACAGCAAAAAGTATCCAAAAGTCAAACATGAGAAGAAACCAGAAGCTTTAAACGTAGAAAAGTCGAAAAGTAAGACATGTATGTAGTATGCTAGTTTTTTTGTTTTGCAATGTTTTGCCCTATTCTCAAGAACGGGTATTTTTTGGCCTTTCATATTTTTTCCTTTTTTGGGGGTGTGCGATCTTTAGATCCAGGGTTTCAGGCCGAAATTGGAACAATGTCTTCACACAAGCTTGGTCAAGCGCTACCTTTTGACCTGCAGCACTGTCGCTCAAGAGCCACCTAATGTTTTCACGCAGAGATTAAGGCCCGAACCATCCTATGGTCCTATGGTCCTATGGTACTGGTGGACAAAGAAAATGAGATAGAACAAGCCTCCATCATTCAGAATCAAAAAAAATCATAAGGTCATTAGAAAAGACAAACACTTCTGTGGACCCGTGACATGCCCGAGAGCAGCTTTGGTCAGGAGAGCAGCAGCTCTCGAAACGTCAAGGCACAGCTCCGAGTCTCGCGAGTCTTCGGAGCGCTTTTGTTTTTGTGAATGCCAAAGTAGTCGGAGTCCCAAGTAGGGCAGGGATTTGGAGGCCGTAGCCCAAAGGCCGGAGCTTCTCCAAGCTTCGAACAGGCACAACAGAGTGTTCTGATGCTGCGCAGATGGAGAGCTACTGTGCAAGACCAAGCATCTAATCTTCTAATCGCGGTGTTCCAGAAAGTGGTTGGCAAAAACACATATATTGCAAACCACTATTTTTTCTGTTGAACAACTGAACTCCCAAAAAATCACGCTAGCTGTTGCTGTGGGACCTGTCCATGTCCAAAGAGGTCCTCCTGTCCGTACTGCGTGGGATTCACAGTGAGCTGGTTCCAACGGTTGGGCCCTCAGAGATGCACGGAGCCTGACATTCAGAAAGGTTTGCCGCCTCCACAAAGGAGGTTGAATCGACAATAGTCTTTATCATCCTGAAAAAGGTGTATTCATCTACCTACCTGCTTAACACAGTTATATAATGATATGTGGCTGGCCATAACTATAGTGGGTGATGGGCGGATGCTGTGGCCCAATGGCTGCCTTTCTGCCTGCCTGCCTGCCTTCCTTGCTTCCTGCCTTCTTTCCTTCCTTCCTTCAGTCAGCTCAGGAAAGGGTGCTTTGGGAGCTCATGGGCAAGCGAGAAAAGAACTTCGACGGATCGGTCATGAAGGAGGAGGCCAGAGTTTTGAAGAACCAAACTATGGAACTATGGAGACGAATGGGAGACTACTACTAGCGATGCACTTGTTCCTAGTAGCTTCCTGTTACTACTAGTAAGGCACCTGTTACTACTAGCGATGCACTTGTTCCTAGTAACAAAACAAAACAACAATTTCAGATCCCTGAGTTTTGAGACAAAATTGTATTGATCAGCAAAAGGATCGACAGAGGTGAAGGTAAAACCTGTGCATTGAAAGTAGCGATTGTAGGTTTACTTTATGCAAGAGGTTCTTTTCTTGGAAAGAGGCCGAACAATATTACATGTGCGTCCACTTGTGCACCTCACGGACAAGAAAAGTAATACTTGGCAATTCTGGGTGCTTCCATAGCGTTGGGCATTTGCTCAACAGTGCGAGGCCCTCGCTGCTTTAGAAGAACTCTTGAGCCTGGAGCTTTGCAGGGATGGTTGCTGGGCGGTCTCAGAGGTCGATATAAGATGCCATGCTACTAGTAACAAGCGCATCGCTACTAGTAACAGGGGCATTACTACTAGTAGCAAGAAGCTACTAGTAGCTATCTGCTTCTAAGAGTAATGCCCTTGTTACTAGTAGCCGAAGGTGATTGGTGATGCGAGAGTAGATGACTCACACTTGGACTGTGTATTGTGCTGTTTATCCAGGTCTCGGTGCTGTAGATGAGAATGTTGCAAGTCATCGCCTACCAGCATTCTGGTGAGCACCTACAGGACCTACATACATATCATGTCCCGTGATTCTGGAATTTCAACTGCTTAATTTACATGTAATGGGGGGGCTTGGGGCTGAGGCACGTTTCTGTGCTTCTGACCTGTGACCGAAAGATTACCCAGGTTCTGCTGAATGGAGCAGTCTAAAGACTCACCTCCGAGGCTTTCACGAGGAAGACTCGCGTGCATCTCAAGGTGAGCTGGAGGAGATGGGTTGCCAGAGATTGTCCGGAAGCTTTCAGCTTCAACTGCTTGGAGGATGAACATGGTGAACGGTTTTCAACTTTTAATGTATCTCCACCCGGGCGTCGGTATAAACACTACGTAGAAAGAGAGGACCTGGAAATCCAAGTTTCTTCCTCCAGTGACTACGGGTAACCGGTACACCCCCCACCAGGAGCTGGATCGCCTTCGAAGGCAGTGCCAAAAGCGATCTTTGCAAAATCTTTTTGCTGACGGACGTCGAAGTGCAGCCGGGGGGTCCAGAGCACACTTTGGTTGTCAGGTTTTGTTCAATGTGTCCCTGGAGACATTTGGGGGGGCCGAAAAAAGAGAGGGAATCGGAATCGGTATGGACATACATCCTCTCAACAGTCTTTTTCCTTTATGACACCTTGTGATGCATGTTTGCCAGTTAAATTCAGCACGATTACGATTCTAAAAGGCAAAAAGAAAGAGAGTACGTAAATCTTTCTCGAAACTGAGATTTCAAGCGTGACCTTCACGATTTTCTCCTCCTTGTTTTTGATCTCTGAGGTGGCCTTTGCTGATGTTCTTCGATGGTGGTGGGATATGCCCGAGGAGGGCTGGTTGCCGCAGCAGTTTCTGCTGCTGGTTCGTGGCCAAAATCAAGGGCAGACTTACAAGATGTGTGGTTTTGCAGAGTCATAGAGTTGTACCTCAAGAACATGTGGCACATGACACCATGCGACTAGGATCTCAATTCTTTCTTGTTTATTCTGCCATATTCACTGATGGCCGTTCCTTCTATCCAGGACACACTCTAGGTACCACATGTCCAATACTGCAAACCTGGGCAGCTTACAACAAAGCAACCGGGAGCATGGATGATAAAGGTTCAAAGGCACCTACTTACTGTATTACAATTACAGAATGATACATGGTCCTCCATGGTTTTGGATACATACTGTAGTGGGCTGAACCTTTGAATGAGCATAAGCCTCAGCGCCTCCGCTCCCTCGGTTGTGAGGAATATCGGGAAGCAGCAGGCCTTGCAGTTCCTGCCCACAGCTTAGAAAGTGAGTTGTTTTTTCACCACAAGGATTGGAGTGACTACATACTTTCCTCATATGTTCCTTTCCTCACTGGGCATTTGGCACTGGGAGAGATGGGCTGGAAGGGTCACATGAGCCAAACCTTTGATTACTTTAGCATGGGAGCATCGTCCTTTCTAGAAGTAGAAGTTTCAAGAATCCTCTTGAGATTCTCCAAAAAAGCACAGAACGCACTTGACAATGAGATCTGAGATTCGAGCTTCCTGCTCTGAGATTCGAGATTCGAGTATATTCCCAACACCCATTTGGAGCATCTTCCGATTTGCAGCTCCGTACGATGCCGTCGGATCTGCCAGACTGGTCCCACCAAGGCCTCTGAGCTCCGACAGCGACTGCGGCGCCAACCCGAAGAGATGCCTGGGGACCTGGACCGATGCTGAGTGTTTCCAGCATCCGAGGTTGGAACTTGTCTGACCCTATCTTTGAGGAGCATTTGCTATGAATATCACGTTTTCTGTTTTCTATTTTCTTTGTCTCTTGTGCAGTAGTGAGTCTGAGTCGCTTGAATAGGTCAGGAGACAACCAGATGCAGTGATTGAAGACTTCCATAGTTTTTTCACCCAGATCCATGGCAGTTTCCGAAGGGCCACTCGTGACGCTGTGAGGTTCAGGGGCCCCTTGCGCCGAGTAGCCTCTGAAGCATCATTTGCTCGACAGGCAGCAGATGGACGTGGCGAGTCATGGTTCAATCTCCAAACCGCCCAAAACGGAATTCGCATGTGCCAATTCGCTGGGTGCAGGCACTTCGGGGGGCACGTGCGTGCCTTTGCAGAACTCAGGGCATTGGCTGTCAGGCGGGCAAAGTGGCACGCTAACCCAACAACAGGGCCATCAACCGTTGACCATAGTCATTTAATCCAGTCAAAGATTCGGAGAACCCAAAGGTGACCAAACAATCGCAGGCGCTGACAGCTTGAATGGTATGTGTTCTGGAATCTGGAAAAAGTTTGGTTCAACATGTTCAACAGTGGATTAGTTAAACTGCGTAGATTCTCTGGGTTGCTTTGCTGCCCTGGTGCACACCATTGGTGGCATGGCAGGAACTTGATGGAATCCGTTTCTGGTGCTTGCTAATGGGTGAGCTGTTTCCTCCTACCTCGCGGTCCAGGGTTGTATCTCCGTTTGTGCAGGCAAGGTGCCTGCATTTGGCCTAGCCTAGTTAGTTTGTTGGTTGGTTGGTTCGTTCGTTCTTTGTCAAGACACTCGTACTTCCACACACCTATGCACAGTACTTCACACTTCTTACTTTGGCTCAAGACGAGGAAAGAGGACTTCAGCTGCTCAGAGTGAACTTCAGGGTTGAGCCTGGTGAATACTTCAGGTTGTGACTTCTTGTTTGGTGAGTAACTGACACTTCTGGATTTTCGCATGGTAGCGGAGCCCTGCAACGACAGGGACTCCTAGGAACTTCAAGTACAGAACTTCTGCTGTTGAACATGGCTGAGATAGATGGAGACTTCGGTCGACTCAAGTTGCCACTTCCCCCACACTTCTCCGGTGAACCTCGTGACTGGGAAGAATGGGAGTGGAACTTCAGAACCTACATATCCATGTTCCAGCCAAATGTTTTGAACTTCCTAGACAGGGCTGCTACTTCAGACGCAGAGATCGTAGATGCACACTTCCAGACAGGAGAGACTAGTCACTTTCAGTAGGAAACTTCACTACCTTCTAGCAAACCTTAGTACAGGCTCAGCCCGACTTCTGGTTCGCCAGAATCAGGGCGGAAACGTCTTTGAAACTTGGAGGTTACTTCACCAGCGTTTCTCGTTGCCAGATGCCAGTAGACATGTGTCACTTCTTACAAAGATTCTTGATTGGAAGTTCAACACGCACACGTTTGAACAAGACTTCAACGCATGGGAAACAGTCAAGAACAAGTACGAGCAGCAGACAGGACAGCAACTTCCTGACAGCATCTTAGTAGCAACTTTGATGAACAAGACTTCAGGACCACTTCAGCAACATCTTCGGTTGAACGCTGGAAATATCAACACGTTTGATCAGGTCAAGCAACTTCTCGTGCAGTACTTCAGGTCAAGGCACATCCTCAACATCCCAGACACTTCGGGTCCAGTGGATGTAGGAGCAATCAAAGGTAAAGGAAAGAAAGGAAAAGGAAAAGGAAAGAACAACTTCAGCCATTGGTACTTCATGAAAGGCAAAGGTGGAAACAAAGGCAAAGGAAAAGGTAAGTACTTCAAAGGTTCCAAGGGCCAAGGAAAAGGAAAACAATGGCCCCAAACTTCGAACAAAGGAAAAGGTAAAGGAACAATCACAAACCCCGGTAGCTCTAACCGGTTGTTTGCTATACGTGTGGTAGGCCAGGACACACTTCTCGTGAGTTGATGACACTTCGGGAAATCAGAATGAGACTTCATGGAATAATAAATGGAGTGATGATTGGACTTCATGGGATGATCCTAGTTACTTCGGTGATTATGGTGATTCATGGGATGATTACTTCATCGGTAATGTAGGTCATGATGATTGGTGGACTTCTGATGACTGGACTTCATGGGATGACTGGTCTTGGGATCCGTCTTGGACTTCGTGGACTTGGAATGAAGCTGGTCAGTCCAGCACTGCTGGCACTTCGGTGCCACCAACTTTGCAGCAAGCGCAGACCAGAACTTCGGTTCAGGTTACACTGCGCCTGGAAACCAAGGTACTTCAGCTAAGGTTTCAGCAGTTTTGGCTGAGCCCCCAGGACTTCAAGAGAGTCAGATCTCAAGACAGAGTACTGGCACTTCTAGGAGTGCAGTCACTTCAATGATGTTGGCAGCAATTACGTTGAACACTTTTGGAGTAGGAACTTCTGTTCCTTTAGGTCCTGTTACCACTTCTGGTTCTGGTTACCCCCAACATCACAGAGAAAATGAGACCAACTTCCCAAGTTTGGAGAGTGTAGGCCTTGGTCACCTCTCACTTCCGGAATTTTCAGATTTCATGATGGATCAGCGCATGGTAATTGCGTCAAGTGTAGATATTTCTGGGGTTTTGTTTGACAGTGGAGCTGCTGCAAACTGCTGCCCCAAGAACTTCGCTCCTGAATGGCCGATTCTTCCTATCAATGGGTCGAAGCCACCACTTCGTAGCGTGACAGGTCAACCACTTCATGTTTATGGCAGGAAACTTGTTGGATTGAAAGCAGGCGATGTGGACTTCTTCTTGCACTTCTATGTCACTGACATTGATTATCCACTTGTTTCAGTAGGTAGACTTCTTGTTCAGGGTTACACAGTTGAACTGTCTGAACTTCATATGTGCATGAAATGTCCCAACGGGCAATCCATGCCACTTCACAGACATGGTTCACTTTTGTTCATGCAGCCGTCCATTCAACTATTTGAGAAGAACAACTTCGAAGCTGTTTGTGTCACTTTTCAAACCAAATACCAACACTTCTACTGAGAAAACCCCGGAAAATCTTGTTGCGCCGACTTCTAGTTCTTTCAAACCAATTTACTACCACCATGATCGTTGGTACTTCGACTCTAGTAGGCACACTTTAGTTCGATACCATCGTAGGCCAAGAAAGAACCTTTTTACCCCTGAGGGTACTTCAGACAGGCCGGTTGCACTTGAGAAACTTGCTTCACTTCGTAGGACTTTTGTCACGTATGAAGACAAAACTGAAGAAGTTGTCAAAGACAACAGGAGAACTTCAGATGATCCCAAGAGAGCCTTGAGCAAGTTCTGGAAAGGTAGGACGGAGTTCGTTTTGACTTCGCCAGTTCCTACACAGCGTGTGACAGGAAAGCAGTCGACACTTCCAGTGCCAAAGGTTGTATCAGCAGATCCTGTCATCACAAGCACTTCAGAGCAAAAGCCCAAGTTGAGCCTTGAGACTTCTGGTCCGAAGCAAGTCAGGTTTCGTGACTTGTCTTCAGACTTCTCGACTTCTTTGCAATCCAAACTCGCGCTGGCCGGTGACGATGTGTCTGAGGTGAGAAAAATACTTCAAGACTCAATGACTGAGCCGGATCCAGCGACAGGACTTCGTTTTCGCATGACTTCTGGGCGCATGGAGGTTCATGTTGGATTAGGTATCACTTCGAGCCGAGGACTCGCTTGTTCACTCCAACTGAGACCGACCTTGTTGGTGGCCCGGAACTTCACATGATTGGACCCGAGCGCATGACACTCATGATCGCAGAAGAGGATGGCACTTCTAAATGGTACAATGACAATCACTTCGGTGATCTTGACATGGGTGGACCTTGGACTGGCTTGACTCTTTTCAGCAAATCAGAGGAAGAGGTCTTTGATCCACTTCCTTCTGCAGATACTGAAGCAGACACTTCCGCAAGAGCTCCTAGGTCACTTCCCGTGCCAAAAGAGCCAACTGCGCAAGAGCGTGCTGAGCATGAACTTACCCATCTCCCTTTTCGGAGTTGGTGTACGATTTGTGTTGGGTCCAAGTCTCGACAGGGTCATTCGAAGAAACTTCGGCTGAAGCAGCCTGTACTTCAGGGCGATTACTCGTTCATCACTGATCCGGAGACAAAGGACCAAGTCACACTTCTCAACGTGCGAGATGTTTTTTCTGGACTTGCTTTGTCGTGCGTTGTCCCTTGTAAAGGTCATTCTGTCTACGCGGAAGGTGAACTTCGCAGGTTTGTTCTTGAAACTGGTCGCACTTTTGGAACGTTGCAAGCGGATCCTGAACCAGCACTTCTTACGGTTCTGCAAACCGTGACGTCTGAACTTGGCGGACTTTCACTTCGGAAATCTCCAACACAAGGAGCTGTAGGCAACGCCCAGCAACTTCTGTACGCTCAGGTTCGCGCACTTCGTCAGGACTTCGCGTCTAGGTACGGTTTCAAGCTTTCCGTCACTTCTCCGTTGTTTGCTTGGCTTGTGAAGCACGCGCATTTCCTTCTGAACAACTTCTCTGTTCGCTCTGATGGTTTAACGCCGTATGAGCGACGTTGGTCGCGGAGATACAATTCTGCACTTTGCAAGTTCGGTGAAATTGTCATGTGTAGACTTCCTGGCAAGCATTCAAAGGCGGAGCCTTCCTGGGTGCAAGCCATTTGGCTTGGTCGTGACGCTTCCGCTGACATGCACTTGATCGGCGCCACTTCGGGTGTGCTCAAAACCAGGAGCATTCGCCGACTTCCTGTGTCGGAACAAGTTGACCAACGTATGGCTGAGGACTTCAAGGCATCCGCCTGGGATCCAAAAGGTCGTGGTGAGGACACGGATGTTCTCATACTTCCTCCTCCGCTGACGCCTTCTCCTGTTGCGGACGCTCCATCCACTGCTTTTGAAACTTCTGCACCATCTCATGGAACCAAACGAACTTCGGAAGACATAGAGCTTGATGACGTAGATGAACCCACCAACTTGTTTCAGCGTGTCGGACCATCCACTTCCGACTTGAAGCGTTCAGCCCCCGACACAGTTCCAGGGAGCGGAACGAAACTTCAGCGGATTGGAGCTGTTCTTGAAGATGATGATTTACTTCCTGTTTCTTGCTTGACTGTTGCTTCTGTCACTACAAAGCATGGACTTGACGTTCCAATTGAGCCCAATGTTGATCGTGAAGAAGAACTTCAAGCACTTCGCGCAGCCGATCCCGTCTTGTGGTACGACACTGAGTTTGACCGCGAGCAGGAGATTGCAGGCATGAACAAGGAAATGACTTCCATCAAGAACTTCGAGGTGTATGAAGAGTTCTTGACTTCCGAATGTACTTCCGAGCAACTTCAGAATGCCATTTCAACAAAGTGGGTGAAACGGCCAAAAGGCGGCGAGGTCAAGTGCCGCGTGTGCGTTCGTGGATTCGATCAAGAGGTCGACCCCGACGACACTTACGCCAGCACGCCGTCCCTCATCACACGTCGCTTGTTGTTGACACTTGCCATTGCGTTTGACTGGTTTGTCATTGCAGGTGACGTTTCAACCGCCTTTTTGCATGCACTTCTCACTGATGAGGTGTTTGTAATTCCTCCGGCTGAATACTACCCGAACGGTGGCGTTTCGTGGAAACTTCGCAAAGCAATGTATGGCTTAAAGCAGAGTCCAAAAATGTGGCAACAGCACTTCGTTTCTGTTGCTTCTTCACTTGGATTCAAGCGACTGAAGTCGGATTCAAACTTGTACTTCCATGAGGCACGCAAGGTGTACATGTTGTGTTACGTTGATGACTTGCTTCTGTTCGGTCCGAAAGGATCCTGTGAGTATCTGTTCGCAGAACTTCAGAAGCAGTTGTGTTTGAGGGGTGTTCTTGAGTCAGGCAAAAGCATCAACTTCTTGGGTCGAAGCATCGCTCGACGCGATGATTCTATGGAGATGTCGATGCCGACTTCATACATCGACAAAATGCTTGAACAACTTGACATGACAAACTGTAAACCTGCTGCCACACCTGGTGTGGATTCACTTCGCAAGTTGATTGAGTCGGAAGAACTTCTTTCAAAGGACGAGCGCAAGTTGTATCGACGAATTGTTGGACAACTTCTGTGGCTCAGCAACATCCGACCAGACATTCAGTTTGCGACTAAGGAACTTTCCCGAGGACTTGTTGCTCCCACTAAGGACCACTTGGTGAAGATGAAGACACTCCTAAGGTATCTCGCTGGAACAAAGCCAGCGGTTTTGCAACTTCGTCCTAACATGATTCCGCACTCCAAGCAGACTTCATTTGACATCGATTGTTTTGTAGACTCAGATTGGGCCGGTTGCGTTGCAACTCGGCGCAGCACTTCAGGTATGGCATTGTACTTTCTTGGCGCCCTGATCACTTCGCAAAGCAGAACACAGCAAACAGTAGCTACTTCATCCGGCGAAGCAGAACTTTACGCAATAGGTCTAGGTGCGAGCGAAAGCCTGTTTATCCGTTCACTTCTTTTAGAATCACAAATCGCACAAAAGGTCAACATCAGACTTCACACTGACAGCACCGCAGGCAAATCTATGGCAACACGTTTCGGAACTTCCAAGAAAACCAAACACGTTCAACTTCGGTTTTTGTTTATCCAAGAACTTGTAAATTCAGGCATCGTGGCAATCAAGAAAGTTGCTGGAACCTTGAACACTTCTGATGTGATGACAAAGTACATCACTAAGGAGGTACTTCACAGACACCTGTCAACCCTTGGGATCACACTTCCCATGGGTCGAGCACTGTGAAGACACTTCATGAACATGGATCGCCAGTTTGGCGCATAGTAACTTCTAGTGTTTTGCCTTAGGCACGCCAGGAGTACAGAACTTCGCACTTTGCGACTTTGCACTGGTACAGAACTTATAATTACTTCTTGCATGCGTGCATGTGTATAGCACGTATTGTGTACATACTTCACACGTATAAGTGTCAGGTACTTCTGGTTGTGGTTTTGGTTGTTTTTTGTGTTTTGTTTTTGGCTTGGTTGTCGTTGTTGCTTTTCACTTCACTTAAGCTCCCCAATTAAGTTTTAATCACTTCTGAGTATGATAGTTGTGGTTCACTTCATCCCGGGTAGCTAGTTTGCCATGGTTAGTAACTTCGTTTTCCTGCAAGCCGTTCACTTCATGTGCTGAGAGCCGTCCGTTTTGCAACTTCAATTTCGATTCTGAGACTTCGATGCTGCTTTTGTTTCAATCATCCTGAAATGTTTTTCACTTCGTGGCCATGTCGCGACTGGACTTCGAACTGATTGCAATTCTGGTACTTCAAACCGGACGCCTTGATTGGCAAATTCTGGTACTTCAAACCGGACGCCTTGATTGGCAAATGTGGGCTTCCTCGACTTCATTTTTATTTGCTTTCTTTACTGCAGATGGCGGACCCTTACGTCATCGGACTTCAGGTTTGAAGAGTGGAGCACCAGTGAAACCATGCCACCTAAGATGGCAAAGGCACTTCCACGCATTCCACCACTTTCATGGCAGAACTTCCAGACACATGAGGAGGTTCAGCAGCAGCAGAGGCTTCAAGATCAACTTCAGGCGCAGCGTATGAACAGAGGGTTGGATTTCAGTTCGAGTTCTGATCTGCAAACTTCGGTGATGCCACCGTATGACAACCCTCACTTCATTCTGCAGTTGAATCCAGAGCATTTTCTGCATAGTTTTTGGAACAAGGTCCAGTTGACTTCACCTGGACTTCCACACAATGCTGCAACTTCGAAACAGGAGAGTCTGTTTCCAGGAGTCAGAAGTCATGATGACTTCTTGGGAGCTCAGGCTGTGATGACTTCCTCCATCTATACTCCTGAGGAACAACTTCTGCAAAATGGTGGATGAGTTTCCACTTCAGTGTCCTCAAGGCCCAGCTTCACTTCCTGCATGGACTTTGACTGGACACTTCTACATTCTTCTTGGCGTGCATGACCTAGCTTTCATGGCCTCTTCAGGGCACTTTGTGGCTTTGACTTCTCTGGATGGAGCTAATTGTCCAGATGGAGAAAGTATGGCAAACCTGCATACTTCACCGCGCAGTGCGCTCCTCTTTCGGGGTTGGAGCGGGTGGATGGTACTTCAGGCTCACATGCATGCTGGTGGAACGGTTCAGTCACTTCCTTCGAGGTTTCATGATCCTGTGGTACTTCTATGTTTTCAGCTTGAGACTGATAGAGTGTGGAGAGAACTTCAGAACGGGGGACTTCGATTGTGGAACCGTCAGTACGTGGATTACTTCTTTCACATCACTGGAAGCTACAACTTCAGTGAGCTCGAAAAATCCACTATGCGCTGTTTCGGTTTGCCACGGTTTGGTTCTACGACTCTGGCTACTGCGCTCTTCTCTGTGTGTCCACAACATCAGTCACTTCACCCAAGGACTCATCGCTTCCGTTTCATGCACCTCTACCTTGGAAGAGGATGGAACGTCACCCTTGCACGAGAAGAAGACTGGTTAGTTGACCAACTTCTCGTGTTGAGGTCCAGAAGGGCAAAGTCGTTTTTCACTTCAGCCATTTTGGCAAGACAAGTTTTGCAAGACTTCAGAATTCATTTTCAGATCTCAACTTCTTTTGCTGCAATTTGTGATGATGACAACTTCATGCAGCTGACCTCAATGACGCTCAGCTTGGCATAGCTCACTGCCATCTTGCTCTAGCTTAATCCCTGGTACTTCGTACAGGCACGAATCACACTTCATAGTATGCAGGGTCTGAATTTAAGACTTCTTGATGAAGCATTTTCAACTTCAGGTGTGAACTGATGCAATGGTGCATCACTTCAAGGGAGCGTGTCAAGACACACGTACTTCCACACACCTATACACAGTACTTCACACTTCTTACTTTGGCTCAAGACGAGGAAAGAGGACTTCAGCTGCTCAGAGTGAACTTCAGGGTTGAGCCTGGTGAATACTTCAGGTTGTGACTTCTTGTTTGGTGAGTAACTGACACTTCTGGATTTTCGCATTCTTCGTTCGTTCGTGTACAGGAGACCCCTTACATTTGATCAGAACTACTACTCCTACTACCACCACTACTACTACTACTACCACCACTACTACCACCACTACTACCACTACCACTACCACTACCACTACCACTACCACTACCACTGCCACTGCCACTGCCACTGCCACTGCCACTGCCACTGCCACTCCTACTACTACTACTACTAGTACTACTACGACTACTGCTACCACTACCACTCCTACCACTCCTACCACTCCTACCACTCCTACCACTCCTACCACTCCTACC